GCTTGTTCGAAGAGGGCACTTTACGTTGTGCGGCCATATTGAGCGGATGCAAGCGCAGAACTCTCCGCGTTTCGTATCGCAATCCGTTTGCATCGAGTTATTATTAATGTACTCCGATTAGATAATTAAGTAATTCAACTAAATAACTGATTTGTGATCTATATGCGATCTTATTTCGAAGGAATATCTCGACCACTAGTCAGATTGCGGATGTTGACTAACCTAACTTTCCGCCGGCCCCCCATGACTTTCCTACATCAGAAGTTGGGATGTAACCTACCAAGTGGACACATAGATGTCATGGATATGGAGAATCTTATTGCAGTAACAAAATCAAAACTTTCTCGCCCTCATCTACGTCATGACTGGGCCGTCGTCGAGTCACATGTGCATCTGCCCGAATTCGATCCTGACAAAATACAAGAAGAATCATTTGAAGCCTTCGTAAGAAGAACCAAGCGTTCCTAATATGAAGAACAGTAACCCGAACGCTGCTGTCACGTGCTTCAATTGTGGAACTGAGGGTCACTACTTTCAAGATGCCTGTAGCCGAAGAAGATGCAACGGTGGCAAGCCTAATGGCTCGTCTGCTGGTATTGCTAGTGAGCGACGTGTGGACGTCTGCACCATTGCTACCCTTGCTAGAATTTTGCAGCATTTTGGTGAGTCGTTTTCATTTTGTAATGATACTGGAGTCGAGTGCTCCCTTATAACGTAATTAATATCGTGAATAATACATGGCAATCGAATTAGTAACACTATTAAAATAACTAGTATTGGTGATAGAAATGTTTATAGTATCGTACAGATTTAAGTTTTGGTTCAGATTGACGATATTGTTTTTTTAATTTCTTTTTCATGTTCTCCTGGAACTTCAACTAGTTTTTATTTGGTAGTTCAACAAAACTTATTCTTTGTAACTATTTTTTTCTCCTTTTTTTTATTTGTAAAGCAGTAGTATGTAAGTTGCTCAGGTTGTTTACATCTTCCGGGCCTTCGTAGTCGTAGGCGTAAATCGGGCTAGATTTCCCGTCGCATTGCGGCCACGTTTGTGAGTGGCGTGCGTTGGCTAGGAGATGTAAACGATCGCTGTTGGTTCGTCGCATAGAGACGACGATTGTGTATGGGTACCGGATGGAGGTCACCCGTGGATGTGTTGTGTTGTGGAAGGGTACCGGATGGAGGTCACCCGTGGATGCGTTGTGTTGTGGAAGGGTACCGGATGGAGGTCACCCAACCACGTGATTGTTTTGTGATGACCGGATGGAGGTTGTCACAAGGTGCTGGATGGAAGCATCTGAAATTATAGAGTATTGCATACGACACTGTTTTACTATGTAATCCATAATTATCAATTTGATTTAGAAAGATAATTTGTTTGATGAGTTTCGTTGAACTGCTTAGTGATCGTAGCATGATTTCATTACTTTTAATATTATTGTTCGAAGACTTACAATTTTGAGTTAGTTTATACAAAATATAGTAAAGAATCTACTGCGCTGCATATTTTCCCTTTCAGATTGAACCCCTACGCGAGGATGCGTGAGGCTATCAGAATAGCCGTTTCGCAGAACATCTTCATCACCTTCACAAAGATCGTTTGATTTAGTTTCCTTTTTTTTGATTTTTATTTGCTCGATTACTTAATTACTCGATTGCAAAGAGGGCGTGATCATCGATACTTTTAATTTTTATTAGAATGGTAACTCTGACTTTGACAGTTCGATAACGTAAAGCAAGTTGCCGCCATTTTGGCACACATGAGTCTCTTATGCATTTGGGCTGGGAGAAAAATCTGGAAAGCTCTGAGCTCTAAGCGTACTTACAAGTACGCGCCTAACCGATTGAGGAAAATGCCGGACCATGAAATTGTAGAGTTAGAAACTAGCGAATCTAGCGATGTAGAGGATTGTGTGCATTAACCACTATTCAATATTCAACTATTTAATTTAATTGTGTATTCGCATTAAATCACTCGTATTAGGTGATGTGACGACTGTTTGTGAGGTATCGTCACTTGGAGGTGGCATGAGTTACATCACTCGTATTAGGTGATGTGACGACTGTTTCTAGGGTATCGTCGTCACTTGAAGGTGACATGAGTTACATCGCTTGAATTAGGTGATGCGACGATTGTGATTAATAGAGTTGATGATGTGCAGAGTACAGATAATGATTAAATTTGACTGACTGACTGAAGTGACTTAGTTTTGTTACAAAATGAGGAGCGTAATCAGACTTAACTAGATCCGAAATACAAGGGACCGTTTAAGGTCATGGAGTTATTAGATGGTTATTGTTATTTGTTAAAGGCGTTAAATTCTAAGAGGACTTACAAGTATGCTCATGATAGACTGAGAAGGATGCCTGAAGGTCAGTTGGTTGTAGAAGAATTGTGGATTAAAGTGATGATCCCGTGTTCGAAGTGCCTGGCACATCGCGTGATTAAGTTGGGTAACATTCGATAGAGGTGTTACTTGAGCAATCAATGGAGTTGCTCATGGGAACAATGCTCGATGGAGGCATTGGTTGTTTATGTGCTCGATGAAGGCACTGGTAGCATAACACTCGAGGGAGGCGTTTTGCTTGTGTTGTTAAAGGCACGAAGGGAACATAATGCTCGATGGAGGTATTATGTGTCTTGATGTGTGCGTTCTATCACTGTATAGAATCGCGATATGTGTTCAGTTGTGTATTGATGAGAGTAAGACTTGATTTAAAATTTGAACTTTAGATATCCTTCGAAGTTGTACTAAGGCAGTATTTGATTATTGTACATAGTTGTAATCAGTAAACATAGTTTGTGATCGGTGTGCTTATATGACCGTATTTTTACTGGTCAGAGATGACCGAGTGATGGCAAAGGGTACTGGTAGTGTTTTCATTTTTAGACTCACACGAGGACGTGTGATGCAGCAGGATGGCCGTGTCGGCGAGAAGGCGCTTCGATTGTGCGAAACGCTATCTGTCACCTGCAGTTGTCATCTGTCAAGATCTATGGTGCATTGCGAAACGTCAAGTTATGACATTGACGGCTGTCATCGCTTGGGAGTGGTCTATGCTTGTTCGAAGAGGGCACTTTACGTTGTGCGGCCATATTGAGCGGATGCAAGCGCAGAACTCTCCGCGTTTCGTATCGCAATCCGTTTGCATCGAGTTATTATTAATGTACTCCGATTAGATAATTAAGTAATTCAACTAAATAACTGATTTGTGATCTATATGCGATCTTATTTCGAAGGAATATCTCGACCACTAGTCAGATTGCGGATGTTGACTAACCTAACTTTCCGCCGGCCCCCCATGACTTTCCTACATATATAATGTGTATCAACAAAATTTCGCCACGACTGACTAAGTTTCATTAGTGAATTTTAATTTCATGACTCGCAGACCAATCGGAAATGGACAGTGGTATTTGTGTCCTTACATAATGTCAATGTCCCAAGCGCCATTACAAGCGAATTCTCTACTCTAGTCAACCTTAATAAAACATCTAAGGTTCCTCCGCAACTTTTTGTGGTACGAAATTCTCGTAAAGTTTTATCGGAACACGAAACTTTAGATTGCTTAGTGATATCCTACAAGTCGAAATTCTCTCCTTGACTATGTAAAAAAATTTAGTATATTAATGTTTGGTTAAGATATTTTTTTTTTCATTCTATTTGATTCTATTTAAATAATATTTGTAAGAAGAGTTTCATGATACATTAAATTTGATTTAAAAGGAAAAATCAAAATGTATTTTCCCAATATTTAATATAGTATTGGTATGTTTTCATGATTAGTAAATGCATTAACTGCGATTTTATAACCATTGATCTTCCTGTAATCTTTGTTTATAAACCCGTCTTAATAAGCAAAGGCTGGCGAATTTTTCAAGCACTTTTAATTTTTATCAATTAACCTCAGCAACCTAAATAAATATTTCATTCACTAAGGTCTCAGTGCTAAAAGGAAAGTTTGAAAAATTACAAACTAGCAAGGACGTTGTAGGATCCACGCAAATGTATGCCACCTGCTAAGTTATTCAGTTGAAAAACAGCCTACTTCAAAAGGTAAGAAATATATTATTTTCTTTTGAAGCTCTTTTGTGGCACTAGTACTCAGGCTTGTGGTCATATACTTAACATATCTTTATCATCATCAGCTTATTAATGCAGGGTCTCAGACCTTCCCTATGGATGGACTACAATAGGGAGACACACAGGCCTAGTGCAGATAAGTGGGTGTTAAAGGCCAACGGCTTAATGTACTATACCCATTACGAAGGAGTCCGTTAATAAAAGTTAAGGACCTGGAATCCTGCATAGATTGCTCCACATTAAAACCCTGGACTAGGGCAAAACTTACAAAGATACATATATAAATCTTGTATAATATCACTCTTATGCTACGACAATTAACTAAAGTTTAATATTTTAGAAACAGGAAACAATCGTCTGATGAAATGCAGGGCTGACATAATCGTTTTCTGATTTTACGTGACTAGCAATAGAATTCAAGACTTCTCTATGAACTGTCAGAAAGAAATTCATCTGACTAAAGCTATGGTGTTATTTATAAAGGAGAATAGTTATTAAATATATTGATGTACATGAAAATGGTATTGGATTAGTAAATTACGAACCTGAAAAACTTTAACTTGATACTGAATTTGAAATGACCGAGGTATTTTCAAAAAGTTAGATACAGCATAATAAAATACTCTTTTATGGGTCTCCTATATAAATCTAATACATAATAAATTAGAAGTTGATCACTCCGAGATAATTAAAAAAAGTTTGAACCTCGAATCGCGCCGAGTCGTCTTTTGTTTTCGTGGGTCCACTTAAAATAGCTTATCGCTCCGAAATCATATCACTTTTATTCTGACATCTATCCAAAATTAACATCCGGATGAAACGATTTATTGGATAATTGTAGCTTCCTTTGATATAATAAAAATACTGCATACATGAAAATGACTATGGTTTTGCCTCGTCAAACCGTAGAAGGGAGACAGTATAGAGTGATTCGCCATCGTAGTTACACGTGGCGCCGCGATAACACCGCTCTCAGTGCCGACGTGCGATTGAAATATAGAATTTCATAGTACATTTTTGAATAAAAAAAATATGGAGTTAAGTGTTGTTGAAAGCAATTACCGGTAAGTAATTTATTTTATTCGATAAATTTCATTGAATCCTTGTTAAATATAAAAAAAAAAACTCTTATTGTCAAAGTTTATTGTTTAAAGTTTGCATTTTTAAATGAATGCCGAGTGGTAGAATTAACATTTTTTATGCGGAAAATAATGTATTTACAATGTTAAAACGGTTTATTCATAGTTGTGATAATACATTACAAAATTCGAAGAAACAACAACTACATTCGTAAATCAATTAACAAATTTATCATTAATGGAGTGCTCGCAAAAAATTGAAAAAAATGAACATGAAAACTTTTTAACACAAACCTTTAATTAAAACCACAGAAACCTAAATTTAAACCTATTTTACTATGATTAAACAGTGAATTCAATTACTAATTGCTGTCATTGCATGAAAATTGTAAAAGTCGATCAATTTAATGGATTTTCTGATAAATTATCACTATAATAGGCATTATTAATTCGTAGAGAAGTCAGAATTGGTATTTATTTAAGTAAAAATATGCTCAACGCAGTAGTTAAAAAATTATTAAGTGTGGATGATTTTTAAGCAAGGAATAAAGTTTAAATTTAAAATAAATCCAAAATTTCTAGAAATAAATATAACAAACGTTAGTGCATAATATATTTATACAGTATTAAGATAAAAAAATCATGAACATATATGATAACTTGCCAAAATCAGTTAAGCCTCGAAATGACTACTGTTTATATCATGTCTTACTCTTGACAATTTAATACAAAGCAAGGTTAAATTTTAGTCTGTTATTAAAATAAGATCAAGCTCATAATTATTATAATATTTAAAATTTAATTATTATTTATTTTTAATTTTTCAAGGTTTTTATACAATAAACTAAACAATTTTATAAAAAACTAAAAGTAAATAAATATATGCTAATATGATAAAGAAAAAATATTTGTTTGTCTCCATTGAATAGTCTTCGAAACTAATGAACAGATTAAAAAAAAAATACCGACGGGAAGCTACGTCGCATGCGGGTTACATACGCGGCGAAGTTACGGGATTTTTTTTTAGTAATATTTAATATAAATATACCCAAGTTAAATAAACTTAACTTCAAACCGACTGTTTAACTAATATGTTCAACAACCATCGTCATGATTCAAACAATATCTTCATAGATTAAAAAAAAACATGAATTGTTCTTTTTCTCAATACAATTTTGAAATTACAAATTGAAGTTTAGTGTAATGTAATAAATCATAAGGTGCGGTAAATATTTTATTTAAACAAATATATTAACTAATCACACTTAAATCAAATTTGTATGTGAATCTCCCGTCGTTTATATTGGACCGCAATGTTTTTTAAACCAACTTTACTATGGAAATTTTAGGATCGGAATTAAAATCAAATCAAATCAAATCATTTATTGCATGTCACATTAAAATTATAACATAGTAATTATTTTGTTGCTCGTGTACATGTGACGCCCTGTAAGGGCATGGCAATGTTACAATACAATACAATAAAATAAAATAAAATACAAATACCCAAAATTAAATAATATTAGAAATTACATGTCAAGAAACTTATAACAATATATATTAACAATAATTAAATTAAATATAAATTAGGCATTTCAAATATCACAATGTTCATCAATAACAATTTTTAATTTATTAATAATAGTATAATATTTATGTCAATTTTTCATTAAAAAATTCATCTATATTGTAATATGCTTTATTTAGTAAGAATAATTTTAATTGATTATTAAATGACATTTCTGTTTCCAGATTTTTAATATAATTTGGTATATGATTATAGATTTTTATTGACATAGCATGCGGGCCTGACGAGACTATTTCTAATTTTGAGAAGTGCATTTCTAGTTTGTTTAAATATCTATTGCCTCTCCTAACACTTGTTATAGGTGTATAAAATTCTGGGTGTTTCCTTACGAACTTACATGTTTCAAGAATATATATTGATACAAGAGTCAGTATTTTGTGTTTAATAAAATGAGGACGACATGATTCCATTTGATCAATGTTAGACATTATTCTGATACACTTCTTCTGTAGTATAAATATTTGATCTACATGACATGAGTTTCCCCACAGAACAATTCCGTAGGATAGAATTGAATATGCATATGCGTAGTAAGCTGTAAGGGCAGTTTTAAAATCCGTTACACGTTTAAGATGATGTAGTGCATATATAAAAGACGACATTTTATTTACTGTCTTTTTAATATGTGTTTTCCAATTCAAACACGTATCCAAATCCACTCCTAACAAAGTAGCAGAGTCAACGGTCTCTAATTTTGTACTCTTATAACTATATGAAATTTGTAATTTTGATTTTTGATATGGCTTAAACTGAATAATTTTGGTTTTACTAAGATTAAGTTGCAAATGATGAAAGTCTAGCCAGTTTACAATTTTGTCCAATGTAGAATTAAGTTTAGTTTTTAAGTCTGTTCCGTTGGAGCATGAAAACAAGACAGATACATCATCGGCAAAAAGCATACATAGGTCGTCTAATATGTTTGGAAGATCATTTATATAAATAAGGAATAAGATACATCCTAAAACGCTGCCCTGGGGAATAGAGCCTTCAATATGGATTGCATCTGATTTGGTATAGGTAATCATACCCGTTACAAAATTTGTATGTTGAATTTCTACATATTGATAACGGTTATGGAGGTATGATCTAAACCAATCATGGGCTTCTCCTCTGATTCCTGTTTGGTATAATTTATTCAAAAGGGTTTTATATGACACCCTATCGTAGGCCTTACTCATATCGAGTAAAAGGCCTACCGCGTACTTTTTATTATTAATTTCGTTTAAAATATTTTTTATATATTTATAAATTGCTAAGGTAGTGGAATGGTTTTTTCGAAAGCCGTTTTGATTTTCATGCAAGATTTTGTATTTTTCAAAAAAGGAATACATACGCCTCGCGATAACTGTTTCAAATATTTTTGCTGATGTTGGTAATGGGTCGGTAATTATTAACGTCGGTTTGATCTAAGCGATGGGTCGGTAATTATTAACGTCGGTTTGATCTCCCTTTTTGTGGATAGGTTTGATTATGGATACTTTTAACGCGTCAGGAAATATACCTTCTGAAATGGATTGATTTACTAATTTAGTATATGGGACCGTTAGTAAATCGACACAACTTTTAATCAAAACCGGGGGAATTTCATCAATACCGTAAGATTTTTTGTTTTTTAGTTTCATTATAATTTTTTTCATCTCTATTGTGTCCACTGGGTTCAAGAATATAGTATTTTCGATGTTTTGTGTTATTTTTATATTTTTTGAAGTTGGTGGGGCATATGAATTTCCAATTTTAGCGAAAAAGGTATTAAATGAATCCGCCACCTCCTTAGGGTCTGATAATATACATTTATTTGTTGTTTTGAGTTGGATATTCGTATTTTTACGCATATTTCTGTTTGTCTCATTATTTATGATTTGCCACATAGATTTAGTTTTATTATGCGAATTCTCAAATTTAGATTTATTACATTTTTTTTTTGATATATTTATAGCTTTTCTCAATATTTTACAGTATTGTTTATAGTGTTTTGCTAAGTTAATAGATTTTGATTTAGATACCAATAACTTCAAGTGTCTTTTGTGACAGCATGATATTTTTATTCCTTTTGTAAGATATTTTTTGTCTTGTGTAGTTTTTATGTTAATTCTAATTTTTGGTATACATTTATTTAAAGCATTTTGCATTACATCATTAAATATATTATAATTTTCGTTTATACTTTTATTAACTTTGAGTTTATCTTTCCAATTTATATGTCTTAGTTCTGTTTTGAATTTATTTATGTTAGGTTCGTTAAATATTCGTTTGTATAATACAAAATTTTTAAGATTTTGGTTATTGTGAGGTAAAGAAATTAACAATCCACTATGATCTGAGAAGCCAAATTCACAAACAGATACATCTTTATCGTTTATTTTAAAATTTAAAAATAGCAAATCTATGCATGTAGAGCTATAAGGTGTAATTCTGGTTGGTTCTTTAATCTTTTGATGGAAATTATTCCTTAAAAATAAGTTAGAAAGTCGGTATTTTTCATTGTTTTCTGTAAGGAAATCGACGTTAAATTTTATGACTCAATTGTTGAAGAGAATAATGAATTTAAAATGCTATTTTAGTCATTTTATGCTGATTTTCAGTATAGTCGTTAATTTTACTGTTAATCCAAATCATTGATGTGTCATTTTATGCTCCCTGAAGTTTTGTTGTACGCGTTGCAAACCCTTGCTGGAAATGTTCGAGCACAGGTGTATTTTTTTTTAATGGAAATATTAGCCTTATGGCTGTCACACACGGTCTATCGGACAAGATATAGGGCGATCTGATGATACCGTATGATCTCAAATGTAAGAATACTACACTGCAACAAGCCCAAGTTAAGTATATGCGGTGGAACATCATAGCAAAGCTTAGGTACTCTGGCTTTACTCCGATGTACAGTAATGTATATTTCGCATTTACATTTACAAATATTCAACATGCATGCTAAGGAAATGTAATGTTGATATATTTTTGATTCATCATCACCAGCCTTTTAATGTTCCTATTGCTGCAGTAGAGACCTTCCCTAACGACGGTTTCGAATTGAAAGAATGGACCATCACCAATCATTCTGTTCTTGTGTAGATTGATGGATACTACCCACTGTAAATGCAGGCAGGAGCAACGGCTTAACATGCCCTTCAAAACATGGAGGAGCTCGAGATATAAAATTTTTGGCTACCCATCCTATGCTTAGCCTATGCCAAAGTTGCTTTACTAACTGCATCTTCGAGCTCCTGTACAATAACCAAGGATGTAAAACAACAAGAACTGAAGCACTTTGTTATCAGACTATTAATACTGTCTAGGGTTAATTCTATCCAATAAGTCACGTGAATGGAGTGGGGATGAGTGGATGTTAACGATTACAGACGTAACCGACCTAAAGTCTAATTAAAAACCGAAAGGAACT